ATATATATATATATATATATGTATGTTTGTATTTCTCCATGAATTCAAAAAATGAGAGCACTGAAGTTTTGTTGAGTCATTAAAACACGAGGTGATCTTTCTAACATTGCATAACATTGGGTTATTTTACAGATTTTAGAAAATATTCTTGCTATATATGCTATATTCTTGCTATATATGAGTTTTAAAGCCATTGCATAAAAACATTTTGGTTTTATCTTACTGATTTTTTCCAACCCAGCATTACTTGTAAAGGCATTTTTAATGGCATCGATATCTTTCATTGAAAATATAGATTTTAAAAAAAATGTTTAGTGTTCTGTGTCCTTTCTGCTGGTTTTTTTTTAAGTTTTGGATTTCTTAATCGTGACTGAAATCTGTTTCTGAAATCTTTCATTAATCTCAGCTGATGCGATACCAGGCGTTCAGAGATGGCAGACACGCATCTGGGCACTTGTCACCAAACTCATCGAAGCCAGGGCTTCAGGAACCATGCCCAATCCTGAGCTTCTGAGTAAGAAAGAGAAGGCTGAAGCCAGAAAGATCTGGGAGCACAAGAATCTGGTGATTTCTGAGGTGAAAAGAAACACATAGTTTGTAAATGGCTAAATAAGTTGCTGCTTATGCTAAAACCACATGTTTGACTTACAGAGTCAAAAGCTTTTTCCCCAGATGAGTACCTCATGTTTAAGTGAATTATTCTCTGTATAAATAATTTTATTTACCTATAAATTCTGTGGGACATAACTTATTTAAAGGATATGTGCCTCTCTTAAGGGATGAAATGTTATGGCATTAAAATGTTATCAGTCTGGGATTTGAGTAAGTCCATTTCCAGTAGCAAAACTGTAGATGAGTTCTGTAGGTTATCCCTCACAAAAGCTTTTGGTCTGTTTGCTTCATACCTCATTATCATGCCTGCTGTTTCATCTAGAATGAAAAAAGTTGGTGAAAATATATTAGTGTATCCTAAAAAACAAGTACTGAATTGATTGTTCATCTCTTCTTATGTGTTGTCTCCTGCCGTGATTAGTGTCAATTATCCAAGATGCAGAAGGAGATATAAATACCTGCAAAATTGACTTAAAATATTTTTCTATGGATGAAAACTTTTGCCAATTTAAACCCTGTTGTGAGGGACCTTCCAGGTCTTTTAACAGACTTTAGAATTACAGTCTTGCAATCTATGAACAAGCTTTCACCAGAAGAAATGGATTTACAAGAATGAAGGCCTCTTGTAGGGGCAAAGGGAGGATATTTTATTAGAGGAGATAAAGGGTGATATCTAATGCACAGTTCCCATTGGCATTGACTGAAGCTTTTAAAACCCTGAAATGCAGGGGAAGCTGATCGGCTTTATATGACTGTTATGTTCCCATACACAAATGTGATTGCCCATATGATATGTTTGCATGCCAAAGTGATTTGCATGTAAGAGGTAAGATGCACATATTTCACAAATTGAAATTTATTAGCAATAATTCTTTTTCATTTAAACCCCCAATATTCTGTGTTTGAGAATTTTAAGTAATTAGTAACAGAGCTTTTCTTCTGATACAAGGTAACCGAATACTTCACGACAGATCATTTGTTCAATGCAGCTATTTCCCGATTGATGAGCCTCACTAATATACTCCATGTAAGTACATTATATTAATGAAGGTATTTTTCTCTCAGACCCTGTTCCTGTCAGTCTTTATACAAAGCAGGAGCTGCCTGAACTATAGGTCCATCTTTCTGTAAGTCATTTACTGTCATAAACATTGCTATTAAGTCAAGAGCCTCACTGAATTGTTCAGTTCAAAAGCAGCACATTCTAGTATCACATGGCTTTGCAGGAGGAGTTATATCCCCTGCATTCTGATGATCTTTCAGTCCTCAAAGGCAGCTTACACTGCTGAACTGTCTGCTAGTAATAGAGTTTGCAAATTCCTCTTTTGCAAGCAAATGTCAAAATAACTCAAAGTCTTTAGCATTTTTTATTTAGATTATGTTGTTTATCTGCCAGTAGTGATAGATGAAGTATAATAAACTACTATCATTTTTTTTTTACTAGTCTTAGATCTGTCTGAACAATCCTTCAGGCATATAATGGTAACCTGCTTAGACCAGAAATGAAATATAATTTTGAAAGTTTCAGCAACTGTATTTAAATACCATTTTATACCTTATGGTTTCCAAGGAGATTATTGGCAAAATCAAGGAACTTAACAAAAAGTTAAGTAGGTTGTGGACAAGCACTGTACCAAGATAACTTAAGTCTGGGATACTGTGTGGTGCTGGGAAGGTGACACACAGTTCTTTATCTCCAGCTCAGTGATTCATAGGCATTTTGGGCTTGTGGATGGTGGAGTGAATGTTAAAAAATAAATAAATAAAAGTCAGTGTCCTACAGACAGCCAGAAGTTTGAACATTGACATATTTCTGGACCAAAAAAGTGAGTGCAGTATCTTTGAAGAACAAGTTTCTGTATAGAATGTTGATGCTTCCTCTTTTGCTCCCAGTTGAAAGGAAGAAGTGAGGAGGTGGGTGAGGATTAAGTATAGAAAGCAGAGAGTTGTTACTAAAACTTACTCAAATACAGAATGCACTGACCTTGTTAATATCAGAGATAAGAAGATTCCGTCTAACAAGAATTGTGGCTGTGTCATACCAATCACTGGTTTTGGACAGTTTTCTAGTAGATGGAAGTGGGTGTTCATCACACCCACCACATGATTCTCATAAACTGGCATGTACTGATGTTTTTCTGAGCTGTTTCAGTAGAGGAGTGGATTACAAAATAAATGCAGCAGCTGAATTTACCATGGGATGTAATTTCTCACACAGGCAAAGAAAGTAAAAGTTCATCCTACTACTTTTAGAGCTGTATCTTTTCTATTAAGGTACAATAAATAGAGAAATGTAGGTTCACATTTTGTCAGTACCTTTTGCAAGAAATTGAATGTTTTTCTGTACTAGAGAAGCTGAACACTTTACTAAAACAATCAGAACATCAAACTGAAAAACTGTGGTTTTCATTCCCAAAGCTTCCTTCAGCACTAAAACCTCACTCTGTCACTAAATCAGCTTTGCTTAAGCCACTCTATGATCCTATACAACTGAACCTTATCCCAACAAAACCCATGCTGCCTTCAGCACAGTTTGACTGTCTTATACAATTACTTCACCTCTTCTCAGATAGCTCTGGTTTTATCCAATATTGCACTTCCTGGAAGTGCCAGCACTCGAAATGATTTTGAGAGCTGCTGTTGTCCACATGAACCTGTGTTCAGACTCCTGTGCTAGGGCAGATCCCCAAGGGTCTTCATCAGCCACTTTAGGATTAGTTTCTACATGTTAGAGAGCACTCTGTGGCCAAGAGTTGTGATTTTAATTCTCCAGAACTCTTCATAAATTTCCAGTTTATTGTGAAATGACACTGTCCTAAGCACAGGCATTGAAGGCGGTGCCAGGGGAAGTTTTGACATTAGGAAGAATTTCATCTCGGTGTGCCAGGGGAAGTTCAGGTTTGACATTAGGAAGAATTTCATCTCGGAAGGGGTGATCAGGCACTGGAAAGGGTTGCCCAGGGAGGTCAGGGAGTCACCATCCCTAGAGGTGTTTAAGGAAAGACTGGACATGGCTGGTTGATATGGTGGTGTTAGGTCATAGGTTGGACTTAGTGATCTCAAACGTCTTTTCCAACCTTAGTGTTTATGGCATTCTGTGATTTTAGGTTTTATTACTGCATTTTCTTCTTCTTTAAACTACTTTCCCTCACCTCAGAATGCTAACATTTTGTTTTCTTGTCTTTTCACTTAGCAAGCTTCTCGGCCTCTTGTTCTCCACAGCACGGAATTTGAAGATGCTTTGGCTTCACTCTGCGTTATGGTTGCACCTATGGCACCGCACATTGCATCAGAGATGTGGAAAGGTATTTATAGAAAGAGACTTTATATTGATGTTCCAGGAAAAAAGACAAAAAGTTTGTAAAAATGTCTTTAACTTACTACACATCACTTATCCCTGAATTCTTCATCTAGCTTGTCACCTTCTGTCATAAATCCTAAACAAACTGGAAACTTGTGGCATTTCCAGATCTCTCTCTCCTGCCTTTAGTTTCTTTCTCCTTGCGTACAAAGGTGGATTTCTTTAAAATAAGCAGAGAAAGGGAGAATGAAGTAAAATTCAAGACAGGACTTGCATGAGGAATTCATATGTCAACTGCTAGCTGCTCCTGAATGTGGATGGCATTATTAAGAGCTGAACATCAGGACAGAAACAGCCCTTTTGCAAATAACTGTTTCAGAGTCTTTGGACTACAAATATTTCCCTTTCAGGAATTCAGTCAAAGAGAACCATGTCAGAGGGCTGTATACTGAAAAGACTAAAGGAGTGTTCAGTAAAGAGCCTACTCTTGTAGAATGCTCCAGGGACTGAGGGACATTATGCTGCTAATTAATCTCTTGTGGAGAATGGGAGCAGTAGACAGGATATCTTTTTTAAGGTCTGTCATGGTTGTACAGGTCTGAATACCAAGTGGGCACAGTTGTGTGGTGCTGCTACAGTTAGAGACTCTGAAGTAAGGGACGTGCATGCCAGAGTTCAGCAGTTGCTTTTAAGGTTTGTTGGGAAAAGTCCCAAGATGTATGTGGGAAGATAGGAATATATTCTGCATTATGGCTGGCCACAAATTGCTATGTGGTTTTGGACCTAATGTTAGCTTTTGGATGCTATTTTAATGCTGTTTTATTTTCAACAGTCATCCTAAAACATTATGCATTCAAGTGTTTACAGAGCAGAGCTAATAAACTGATTATATTTCAGTGTTGTGCATGGCCCTGTAATAATGTTAATTGCCAAGGAAAGACTGCTCTTGTTCAAAGCAGTAACAGAGAAGCAGAAACTATGGAAACAAGAAGATATATTAGGGGGAGTAGTTTGTGTATGTTTTCATTTCTAGTGGTTTTGAGATGTCTTAATACAAGCTTAAGTGTTTAGAATAAAGAGTGACATCGGACATGATCCATCTGGAGAAAGCTACTCCTGGTCAATGATATCTTACAATATGAAGTACAAACTAATTAAAATAATACTAAATGAAACTAATTATGATGAGTTTATTTTCTGTATTGATCAAGATGGAGACAGAAGAGAACCAGAATAATTACTTATACACACAGTGACTTCTGAACTTGGGGTTCTAATACATGTTAGGGAATACAGAGTTATCAAATATGGTTGATAAAATGACAAAGAACACTAGGATGTCTTAATTAACAACTTGTCAAATGTGAAGCTTAATCCTTTAACATTTTGAATGTTAGATAAGGAAGTCTTTTCTTGCTACTAAAGTCACTGGAGAATGAGAATGATGAACATGGTTCTCCCTCTGAAGTAAGAATGAAAAGGAAGCATATAAAAATTTAAAGTGTATTGTCCTCAGCCTATGTCTCCATTTAAACATAAAATTTTACTTGGGTGGTCCAAAGACTGTGTATTGTAATTCAGTGCAGCAATCATGAAGAAACATTGTGTGGTGATTATTGCCTGAAGAATTTTATTACTGAACTTGAAAATCTCAATCTCTTTTATCATGGTGATCATTACATTATACCAAAGTTATAAAACAATTTTATCAGGAGAACATATGTACATTTAACTACTGCATTGTGGTAATGTGTATTATTTTGATATCACCACCATCTAGCAATTCTGTCCTGGGACTGGGATTTCTGGTGAAAAATGCCCAACTACAGTCTAAAGAAAGATTGTCCAAGTTCATGTTTTGAATTGCACCCTATTTCTACCTACTCCTATTGCTCTTCTGATGTAACAATTTCTTAAACTTTATTATGTATAGGTGATGATGCTTTCTTGTTTTAAATAACTTCAGTATGAAAATTAAGCTTTCTAAATACTCTGTTTAGTTTTCTTTGTGTTTTAGTTCTCCATACACAGAGTAAGTCTCTCCTTTTGTATGTTGGCTTTGCATCGAAATGTAGGGATGATGCTGCTTCCTCTCATAAATTAGTCAGGAAAAGGAGTTTGTATATTGTTAGCCCTATAAATAGCACCCATAGGAGTGGACCCCCACTCTATGATGGAAGCCTGTATAATTGTAATGCCAATAACAAACAACACATAAGCAATCTATTTATAACTAAATACTGACTTTTCATTCTAAAATGACTCAGACACGGTCTTTACATTATTTTTTTGGTTTAGTGATTAAAACAAGGAGCATTCTTCATTCTGTGGGGGACAATGAAGCTGAGAAATTTGGAAGCCCTTTAGTTAATGTCAACCAGATAATTTTGCAGTTGAGTAGGAATTCTGTTAGGAACAGTGGCATGTGTTAACTTTGAACCATGTTACACTTTCTTGTGTGTTTAAGCTTTTTTTTTTGAAGAAGAAAAATTATTTTCCTTTCTTATTAGTGTTTCTCATTAAAAAGTGTTGAGTACATAGTGAGATAAGCTAAATACTGATTTACTACAGTCTTAAAAGAGAAGAAAAGAGCATTCTCAATAATTTTCACTGTTTGCATTGTACTTCACAGGATGAATACTTTTACTGCTGCATTGTAATCTCTCCTTTTATTCTTTTCTGATCACTGATCATGGTCAAGAAACATTTAAGAAAAAAATACAATAGAATTTAAAACTAAAAGTGAAATAATGACAACCTACAATAAGACCCTGACTTAATGTATTTTATGGTATTAAGTTCATTCTGCAAAGATTTGAAGATGGTTAAACCACACATCTATGGAACTTTCTGGCTAAGCACATGGAATGAGACTGTGTGGGGGTAATAAAATTACTTTTGACAACTGGAATCTCTTCTGCAGGTGCAAATAGTAATCCTTCAGTTTATATGACAGGTGTTCTGGAAGTTGAAAGAAGTCAACCAATGTTTTTCCTTTCCTAGTTCTGGAATAAAAAGCAAGGCAGAAGATGCTATCATCTATAAATATTCAAATCTTAAAGGATCTGATGTCAAAATATCTGATACTTTTAGTTTTATTCAGCTATTACATAAAATATTTTCCTTTTGCTCAAAAAATAATGTTTAACTGCAAAATATGGTATGATAAATTATAAGTATCTAATGCATTTTCTTAAATATTTGCAGTCTGAATGCATTTATACTTAAATAGAAAAAGTGCTTTTTTGCATTTTAATTTATTTCCATTTCAATCTAAAAGCTACTTGACACCACTCAAAATAAAATGTTTGAAAAAGTAAATCAGTGTTTTCTAATGCAACAGCTTAAAAAAATTAGAACTTGGCTTAATGTATAAAAAAGTATGTAGGTATCCTCTTTGTTAGCAAAAACACTCTTTACAGCTGGATTTTACTGTAAATCAGTCTTAATGATTAGTAACTAATGAAAATATTAGGAAAATTACAAAGATTATTTTAGAGTGCTAATTAAAAATGCTTTGCTTGGCATTTTAAGTAACAACTAGCATCAGTGATAGAAATAAATTTGATTGTAATAATACTATCCTGCTTTGCAAGAATTGCATCAGAATTCATGTGAAATTTTAGCCTTTTAGTCTACTGTGTTTTCCTTGTTAGCTTGTTGATAAATTTTCCAAAGGCAAAACTGCAGTTTGATATCCCAAGGATCCTTCTGACATCATGTGCAACTCTTAAGTATAATTCAAGTAGAACTAGATTCAAGGTACAGCAATTTTGGTTCTTCCACAGCTGAAGAATTATTCACCCATGGGGTTTAGTTCCTGTGTGACCATCTTGTCTTCATGCATCAAGTAGAAACAAAGAGTTTGGTTTCTGAGAGCAAGTTGAAGAGCTCACTTCAGTATTGGCAGTAAATATTTCCAGTTTGAATGAAGGAAGGAAAAGCTGCTCAAATGCTGTTCTATAAGTGCCTCACCTTTCAGCAGCTGAACAATAGCAACCCAGTGCTTTGGTGTTTTGTGTGTGAAGGAGTTCTTTTGCCTGCTTAGAGGAGGAACAGTTTTTGGTATTTTGATGTGTCAACCTAATGGTCCTAATCGTGCAGTGGATACACTGGTTTATCGCTTAATAACATAAAACGCAACTGTAGCCCCTCAGTGTAGGAAGAGTTCATCCGGCTGATATCTTGGCAGTTTATGAACACTAACAGGATGAGGAAATCAGTTTCCTTCCTGAAACCTTGTATCTGAGGAATATACAGACACCATTTGAGACTTTTATTTTTTTTAGTTTGTTTGTAGTAGTACAGGATTTTGCTGTCCGGACAAGGATATGAAACTGCTTACTGTGAGTTGTTAAATTTTTATTAGAGATGGCACATGAAAGATGTATACACTGATGATAAACACATCTTGAGATATATTGAAATGAAACATAATTACTGGAATTTGTAATGGTGCAATTGTATTAGCAAGATTTTAACGGTCACTACAATAGCTCTTTTGCAAGAATTTCTTTGTCTGAATTTAGTCCTTGCTCAAGGAGGCTTCTGTAAAGTATAGAGCTCAGTAGAAGCTAATTGATGTTGCAGATTTTAATTGAAAATCTGATTGCAGAAATCCTTCACAAATCCAAGAAGAAACATGATTTGGAATGTAAAATTTTTTTTTGTCCAAGAGTAGTAGCCCAAAGTGAAGGATAGTAAATTCGTCAAATGGAAGAAGACAGTTCATTTTCAGAAGGTTAAAAGTATTCACATGGAGTTGAAAGCACATTCTAGAGTTAGAGTAACCCAAGCTTTTCTCAACCTAGTTCTGTACAACTATACCAGTAGTACAACACAGTTTTTCTCAGAGCTGTCTGGAAACAGCTGTTACCATTTCTTTGAGACTTCAGACTATTTCACATATGACTGACAGGCATATTCTTCCTGAGCTGCAAAAAGGTATTTCAGATATGCAACTTGCCTGAGTCTGTCAAATGGGGAGATTCATTAAACAGTAATAAGCATATCAAGAACAAAGTAACGATCTGAGAAAGAGGCTGCAGAGATGAGTAAGATACTGACCCATCACTTGCTCTAACACACTCCTGGTCTGAGCTTTTTTTTAAACTTGTTCTGCTTGTCTGCTAGTGTGGTGGATTTTTATTTAACACAGATTTCTATTGTCTTGATTTAGTTAAATCCAAAAGTTAGCAGCATTTGGATATGCACCTTCATAGTCACCTTATGCTTCCCCCTCTCATCTTACAGTCTTTGTTAGAAAATCCTTAGTCCTAAACTCTGATACCATCATTGTTTTAGATGCTTTCATTAATTTCCTTTTATCACCAGTTTATTGCACGTTAATTTATTATTAAGACTTCCATTTTCCTTCCCTTTTCTGCTTTAACCTCTCTGTGCCAGTGCTTGGCCCATGTCAGCTCTTTCTCACTTTCTTTCATAATCACAACTTTTCCTCTGGCCTACATAATTTTGTATCCAAGTAGCTGCACTATTGCTGGAATTTTATAGGTAATTTTTTTCAGTAGGACTAGAGTTACCTTGCTGTCCTAATGCCTTGCACGATTGCTTCCATGTCTTCCTTCTTTAATCTCTTTAAAGTAAGAAACTGCTCTTCCCTGCCAAATAGCACCTTAGGGGAAGGATTATGCTTATGAAATACTCATGTAATGCAAGTAAAACATTGCCCTGAGCTGAAAAGTTGTTAGACTGGTCCTGTCCCCTTCTTCTTTCAACTCACTCATTTACAGTAATATAGTGCACATTTCACTTGGTGTTTTAACTTGGATTCCAAGAACTCCTGCAATTACTGAAACATAAGCAAGAAATGCATAGAAGGTGGAAATAGGGTAAGGACACTTGAAGCAAATATAGAGGGGTGGCCAGAGCAGGTAGATAGATGTGAGACAAGAAAGGCCAAGGTCAGCCTAGAATTGAATCTGGCCAAGGACTTCAAGGCTGACAAAAAGGGGGGTTTAAAATACATAAATACCAAAAAAAAAAAAAAAATTATAATGTGGGCCCACTAGTTAATGGAGAGGGTACCCTGATAAGCAGTTATCGAATGCCTTCTTTGCATCAGTCTTCATGGATAAGATCAGCCTGCAGGGATCTCTGACCCAAGAGACCAGGGTAAATAAAGGTGGGGAAAAAGATGAAGGAAGAGCAGTGGACATTGTCTACCTTGACTTAGCAAGACCTTCAATACTGTGTCCCACAGCATCCTCATCAGAAAACTTAAAAGTATGGGTTGGACAAGTGAACAGTAAAATGGATTGAGAACTGACTGAGTGGCAGATCCCGAGGAGTTGTGATCAGTGGCACAGAGTCTAGTTGGAGGCCTGTCACTGGTGGTGCCCCTCGGGGTTCTATATTGGGCCCAGTATTATTATCAGTGACTTGGACTAGGGGACAGAGTACCTTCTCAGCAATTTTGCTGATTGACACAAGACTGGGAGGAGTTGCCTATATGTCAGAGTGCTGTGCTGCCCTTCAGAGGGACCTCAACAGGTTAGAGAGATGGGCAGAGCAGAACCAATTGAGATTCAACAAGGGCAAGTGCAGGTCCTGCACCTGGGGAGGAATAACCCCAAGCACCAGTACAGGTTGGGCACTGACCTGCTGGAGAGCAGCTCTGTGGAGAAGGACCTGGGAGTCCTGGTGGGCAACAGGCTGTCCATGAGCCAACAGTGTGTCCTTGTGTCTAAGAAGGCCAATGGAATCCAGGGATGCATTAAGCCTATTGCCAACAGGTCGAGGGAGGTGATCCTGCCTCTTTACTCAACTCTTGTGAAGCCACACCTGGATAATTGTGCCCAGTTCTGTACTCCTCAGTACAAGAGGAACATGGAGCTCCTGGAGTGGGTCCAGCAGAGGGCAACAAAGATGATTAAGGGACTGGAGCACTTCACTTATGAGGAAAGGTTCAGGGAGTTGGGCCTGTTCAGTCTCAAGAAGAAACAACTGAGAGGGGACCTCATTATTGTATTCAAGTATATGAATGGGAAGTACCAAGATGATGAAGCCAGACTATTCTCAGTGATGGAAACCAATACAACAAGAGGTAATGGGTGAAAACTGATGCACAGGAAGTTCCACCTGAATATGAGGAAGAACTTCTTTACTGAGTCACTGAGTGCTAGAACAGGTTGCTCAGGGAGGTCATGGAGTCTCCCTCACTGGATGTATTCAAGAACCATCTGGATGCAATCCTGAGCCATGTGCTCTAGGATGGCCCTGCTCACATAGGGAGGTTGGACCAGATGACCTACTGTGGTCCCTTCCAGCCTAACTGATTCTGTGATTCTAACCTGTGAGTTACTGGTTAGGGAAACCTTGCTCTAGTAGTAGTTTGCTAGTCAGTAAAAGTCCGTTAAAGCAGATCTAATAGCAGGATCAGTGCTTCAGATTGAGCACGAGTATTGTCTTTGATCTGTTCTGTACAGATGGGTACATATAAGTAATCAGGTTACAGTAAGTAAAAATGTATTCAGTTGGCTTTCTGTTCTATATATGCAAGAGAATCTACAGGCATGAAAGCAAAATATATAAAAAATATGGAGCAAAATATGCATTGCTTCATAAAATGCCTTTCACATGGTGCTTTCCAATACAGTAAGACAATAAAATGTTTTTCATGTTTTCACAGGAAAAGTATGGGAAATAGTCATTTTTTAATGTCTCAAGCAAATGGCTTTTGTCTAGTGTCTCAGAATTGAGTGGGAAGGCTGGAGAAGGGTTCTGTCTAGGTCCTCACAAGTGGATCATCACCATTCTGGATCATGGCAATGAAGTTTCTGGTCTAGTGTGTTGAACTTTGAAAATACAAACCAAATTATTGCATTTTCTGTGTTCTACAGCTCACAAAATGTGAATTAAGGCAGGAAGCCAAGCAGGCAACATAACTAAAACCTTCATTTTGGTTTCCTGTCAAACTTTTCTGAAACTAGTTCTGTTGACTTTCATACTTCTGTTTTGGGTGGATGAGCTCATAACTCATTTTGCAGCAATAAAATGAACGAAGAGATTGACTGACAGCATCCACAGGAATTAAGTGACCCTAGTTTTGCTTTTGTAGATAGAACCTTTTATATCCAAAAGGGGTTTTTAAATAGTTTGAAGAACCCACTTCAACCGGAAAATAAGGAGTGGCCAGTGTGCATTCTTCTGCCACAAGGCATGTGATCGGTTGGAAAGAAATGAGCTCATCTGGATGTTCAAAAGCCAAAAAGGAAAGAATCTAACAGCTGTTGTCTTTAAAGACAATGTGCTAATGAATCATCAAGTGAAGATTTTTTTTCTGCTTGAGTTGCTATCTTTTACTCTCTCACTTTCCAAGCTGCTGCTGCAAGGGGAAAAACATGCACGAAACCAGATCCATTGAAGTGCTTTAATCAATTGTTTAGCTCATAAATAGTTGTTGTCCTTAGGAAACGTGCAGGTTTTTGCTTGCCATTAGAAATAGCTCCCATCGGTCAGCCTCACTGCCCCGTTCTGAATCATTCAGCAAACAGCTCAGCTGTGTGTCATTTTACCAAAGGGCTTTGTCTGAAAAAGCACTGACAAAAATGTGATGGATTTTTCTGGAGGAAGTTGCATTCTCTTTATGTCCCTGTTTGCTGTTATTCACTGCACTAGTCTAAACAATCCAGCTAGGTGAATTCATGTATGTACTATGCATGGGTCGGGTTTGTGCTGTGTTTTGAACAGCTTCAGGTACCTCAGTCTCAACAGTGAATCTTGTGTTGATGGGTTTTCTTTAAGCTTTTGCTGGAGTTCCCTAAACCAGATGAGATTTTGCATACATTTTGCAGTCCTGAATCAAGCACGTGCTTCTAAAAAGTATTAGTCTGTGTTCTTATTCATACACAGGGAATGTTTTTAATTTAAAAATCCCCTGGCTTTGTGAGAATCAGTAGAGCAATAATCATCAATATTGATCATATTTGGCAGCCCCTTGTTAAGTGAAATCTTTTGATTTTGTTGTACAGCTGGAGTAAACAGCAACATAAATCCCACTCAGGAGCTTTTATTCAGTTAAAGAATGCAGCTTCAGAATGTCTTGCATCCTTTTCTCCTATTACTTAAACAAGTCAGGAATGAATCATCTTGGGAAAGGCATAGCGTATTTAATAGAAGGAGATCACTTGCACTCATTTTAGGTATTTTTAAAAACAAAATCAAGGGATAGAGTGTTTGAGAACGTACATATTGTAAGAAGGAGAGCAAGCTGTGCAAGGTACTCTCATGTAACACCTTTTAATTTGTGAGAAACACTCCACAACATTTAGAAAATCTTGCAAGTAGCTTTACTTGCTGATTTAGAAACTACCCAGCATAGAGCAGGTGGTAAAATAATAAGCCATAATTGTTTATTGTTCTGAGTTGTTAGTAAAATTTTTATCAAATTGGTGGCATTACTGAAAAAACATGAAGTATTATGACTGATTTCTAGAAGTAGAGGTCAGTTTGTGTTGCAATACTACAGTTTAAAAGAATAAACAGGGGTCTTCTGTGCTTTTGGTGAGGTTATGGAGTGTTAATTCAAATCTACAATGTGCCCACGTTGTTCATGTTAATGTCCCTACACATGGTGTTAAACAAATGCTTCGAAGATGTACATTGTTCTGTTTGTAATGTGTTGTATGCTAATCTAAACAGTGTTATTTTCTCCTGCAGCACTTGCTTTTAAAGTCAGCTTAATCCTGATCTTATTTGTCAAACAAATTCCAGAGAGCCAATGTTCTTTACAATACAACTAAATGTTTGGTTTTATTTTCCAGGTTTGGCACATGTGCAGAATAAACTTTGTCCTCAGCATCACTGGGATGTTGATGTACTGCATCAGTCCTGGCCCAAAGTAGACCCAGAATACCTTCAGCCTTCAGATGTTGTGGAGATGTCTGTACTGGTAACAGCATTTTGATTTATTATCAGTAGTGGCTAACAGATGTGTTAGGAGCTCAGAGTATGACAGAATTTCTACCCTCGTGGAAGTCAATTCCCTTTTTAGGTGGCTCAGTAAAAGGTTAGAATAGACACTGCAATTCCCATTGTGCTGAGTAGTTAGAAAGGTTTCCTAAATGAACAAAGGAAGTCTGTTAGGGAGATGACCTGAATATAAATCTTTGAGTGACTGCTTATTAGTACTTGTGGAGATTTGACCAATGAACGCTGTGGGCAAGGAGGATACAGTCAAAACTATGATCAAAATACAGGTCCTTCCAGACTTTTTTGCCTGACAGTGCATTTATGAACTCGGCCCTGTGGCGAAAATATATAATAAGGTGACATTTCTTGTGGTACCTGTAGTGCTATGGTTGCCTATTAGTACCTATCATAAGCTGGGTTAAGTTGCTGTGATTTTTGCCAAGTGATGTTTCCCATCTGCCTTGGGCTGAATTTATGGCATGTTTCAGGAGAGCATATTTGAAGGAATGAGGCTGAGGAAAAACAGGTATCTTTGGTGATGTTATAACTGCATTCCAATTTCTCTTTGAGCTTAACACCTTTGTGGTCTAGGGAA